GACAGACAGACAGACAGACAGACAGACAGACAGACAGACAGACAGACAGACAGACTGGAAAAGGAAGGGGCATGATTCACATAGATTTAATTCTCAGCGTACAGATATTAGAAAAAACAAGTAAGAAAAAAAGATGAGACTGGTTAGTGTTAACATTACTATTCTGTTTCGTTGACCGGTTGGCCAGTTTGTCCATTTGTTCATTATACGTCCTTAAGTCTTCATTCATGCTTTATCTGAATTTTTTTTTAAATATTTATATTTTTGTGATATTCCAATTAAGAAAACAAAACAACAACAACAAACCTGTATGTCATAGCAAATGATTTGGAACATTTAAAGTTGTCCTACACTTAATCAAGCATTTGTAAATGTTACTATACGTGGCGATTCTGTTGTTGTTGCTGCTGCTGTTGTTGCTGTTGTCTAGGTGGTATGACGATAGAACATATCAAAATCTTAGCAAAGAATATGGCGTAAGCTTATAGATGTTGAAATAAATTTACTTATAAAGACAGTCATTTAGTAAACCTATAATGTAAGAACAGTACGTAACGTAACTCTTCAGGGCATTTAAAACCAAGCCTATTCAACGCGCGTGGCAATGTCTATGCTCACTGTGGATTCGTTATGATGATATTGCAGCCCATTATTGATCTCAGCCAGCATCAATCTAATCAATACGTTCAATTGACAGCACCATCTTTGATTTTGCCCTGGTTCCAATGCATTTGTCTTGTTTCTGAAACGCGTAATAAGATGCGTTCCGTGAGCTAATCACTTGTGTATAGGGCGATAAGTCGAGGAAACTGCTTTTAAAAAACTCCGCCCAGATTCTAACGTCTCACGATCAATCAACCAACTTTCTAACCATATTATTATTATCATTATTATTATTATTATTATTATTATTATAAACTGCAAAGACTACCTTTAAAGATCTAAAGGACAGTAGGAAAAAATTCGAAGACGGTAATAAAGTCATAGTTTGTGCGAAACATAATATTGTATTACATTATATGAGCACACGGGAAAAACAGACATAGTCCCAAAACAGGAAAGTGTGAGGGTGTCAATTTTAAAAGGTTGTGGACTCATGGCTTCCTAATATCTGTTTGACTGGTGCTTTATCGTTATGTTTGTTGAATGGGAATTCAAACAACAATAACCAACCAACAGTTGAACAAAAATACAGCTATGAGTCAACAAGCGTTCATAATGAATACCGGTACCCTCACGATTTT